GTCAAAGTATTATTGTCCCAGAAATATTTTATTTTGTAAGTCCTTTCTTAATTATTTTGTTACATGAAATCAAAAGATTAAATCTCTGTCCTTCCCAGAATATTTTTGTAAAAACTTTTCAAAATCAAACACTATGATTCCAAAAACCATCACTGATAAGGTTTGATAGAGGTAAGGATACTTTCAGTGTTTTGAGATAATTTCTTCTCATGCTTTAAAATACAACACCCTCTGTCAAAAACTCTTTTTATAAGCAGGTAGCTGGTACTTTCTAGATTTCTCAAAGTGGTAGAGAATGTGAACAAGTCAATTACGCCAGATAGTATTTCTGTTGATGATCTTCTATGCAAAATGAATTTGAATCAAGGTTCCCAGTGAAAAAGCATCAGGGAGAAACACTAAATGGTAACCATTATTGTTTCTACTAAGTAGCATGAATGTTGGTTCCTGAAACATATGTTGGAATCAGAACCTTACAAACTGGTCTACACTATTAAACCAGTTTGTCATGGCTTCTTCTGGAAGAATGCCTAGAAATGAAGAGATGAGAGGACTGTGCCAATGTTATACACATACTGAATCCTCACAGATACATGCCTGCCCTACCTGTTGGCTCTTTCACCTTCCTGAATTCATTCAGTACAATTGTTGAAAAGGCCTATGTGTCTATTGTGTTTACAATTACGCCTGTTTAACTTTGTAGACCAGCTATTTCTAATAAAGGCCAGATAAAATAATTTAACTGTGCATTCTTGCTCAATACTCATGTGTTTTAGCATTATTTCCCAAGACAGATAGATGTATATTTCATAGCTTGCATGGTATGCGTATGTAGCTCTCAACTGACTTCAGAGGGTCTGGGCGATCCTTTTCCATACCTTAGGAAGCTTAGCTTTCCACCTCACTATCCTGCTGATGAGGGTTGGAAATAATTGAAGAGGTGCCTAGTTCACCACTGCAACCTTTAACTGTTTCCACTAACCAGACAGGCAGCCAGTAAGTTGAAACCATGGGGTGTGACTGCATGCGTTTGACAGAAAACAGAGTGCATCCCAAGTGCCACTCACCACTAGCTTTGGTTCCAGTGTATTACCTACTGCTGTGTGGTTCAGTGTATGCAGTGTAACTATTGTAATAACAGAGCCTTAGTCTTAGGTGGTAAACTAGTGTTTGGGCTGTGCATAAGGAGGCTTCTATGACTGAGTGCCCCCTTGTAAAAATAAAATATTAGCCACAGAAAGTACTAGTCTATTATGCTTTTTGCTATTCTCATTGTGATATCTGTGCAAGTGCAATTAATATGAAGGTCTAGGGAAGAAATGCCAACAGCAGTTAAAAAACAAACAAACAAACAAGGAGCAATGACTGCAGAGGGTAGTTTTTAACCCTTTACTGCTCCTGGTTCCACCAAAAATTTACTCCTTGAAGTTGTTAAATTCATCTGAAGAGAATTATTCAGACTTACTAGGAGTTATGCTAAGAACTTGGCCCTTGCTATATCAAAACAATAGCGTGCTTGAAGAGTTTTATGTTGTACTGATTCTGGTTGCTGTCATGGCTGGCTAACAAAATATATTATCCTTGGTTTTGCTGGGGATAATATTTTAAGGATGTTGATCGGCTAATTAATAGCCAATGGTGTGTATTGCCTTCTTCTACTGTTAAGATACAGGCATCTCCCTGCATCATTCATCTCCCTGGACCATACATCAAATATCATACATCAAAACGTACATCAAAAGGTTTTAGGCAATCTCAGAAGGTCTCAACAAACACAATGGATTTTAATCTATTAAAATTGTTAATTGTGAAGGTACTTGTAATGTCTCACTTGTAACCTGTATCTGCATAAACAACCTGTCTTTCTCCCACATCACCCCAATTTAAGTCCTACTTCAATCTCGCCACTCTATGCCTTTTATGAAGTGAGCTACAGCTCTTGAATGCTTATGCCTTTTAATAAAATGTGTCAGAAAAGGTGCTACCATACTTCAGATTTTTTACCAGTAAAGTAAACGTGTTAGAGTAACACGGCGCTCCTCCTAACAAGGGATCTCTCTAGGGATCTAGTGATGACTGATCAGGTTGGTCTAGTCACAATGAACATACTAAACACTGGGCAGAGAGGATCAATAAAATGTATATACTTTTTCCAGAAGTGGGAAAAGTTGATTATCTTCTGGAATGCAGTCAGTGTTAAGTCCAATTAAATCTTGCTCTGGGCAAAACAAGGCCATATTGAGTAATTAAGTTTACTAGGGTGTTGTAATACCAAATTAAAAGGCTGATAAGGGCAAAGGTGGTTTTATTCAACACTACACTCAGACACATGACTGTTGATTGATGTATAAAAACTGGTAGCACTATGGAATCTCTTTGCTGTCAATCTATTGCTAATCCATAGGAACAGTATACTCATGTAGTACTGAACTCCTCTCTGCATCCCCCTGATTATGAGTTATGGGAATTTAAGTTCCAGTACCTCTAGAGGATACCAGACTAGAGATTGATGTCTTTTAGTTTAGTGCTTTTTAGCATTCAAAAAACATGGGCATGCTCTGGTTCTATTCTATGCATGGACTTCACAAATACTGAAGCTGATAAAGTTGCCAGCAAAGGTATTCTCCTTTAGCCAGCGATATGGTATATCTATTTAAAAGGCTGTTTAAATAAAATTGGTCCATGTCCAGATGTGAAATGTGTATTATTGAGAGTAATTTAGAAACTCTAAATGCATTTACAAGTCATCTTTCAGTGACATGCAACAAAATCAACAAAGGACTTTTAAACTTTAAAAAGATTGTAATATAACTTTTTGTAGCCTGGAGCCATCAATGTTGTGATATTTAATCCATGAAAATTTGTGTCATATTAAATCTATATGATTTTAAAATCTTTAAATGGAATAAATGTACATAGAATTGTATAGTATTAACTTGTGGTATTCAGTATGATTCTATGCATCTCATTCAGAAATATTTTACTGAATTCAGTAGTACATTCAGATATATTTAGGGTTAAATCTTATAACATCCATATACCTATCTGGAAATACATTCATTAAATACAGACAGGACTTATTTTCCCATAAGCAATTCTAGCAGGGTTGGAGAAACTGTAGTCTTCCAGATGTTGGAATCTGATTGCCAACAGCCAGCATGGCCAATAGTTAAGGATAACAAGATTTTTAATTTAACATCTGGAGGGTCACAAATCTTCTAGCCTCATTGTACAGACTTACACTGCATGATTACCATTACTTTTGCTCTTAAAATATAACGACACATAGTTGTCAAAGATGTGTGTTATAAAATTATCATCATTATACTTTTCTTCCCAAAGGAGCCCAGAAGTTACAATTCTAAAACCCAGTAAAATATAAACTAAAACACAGTTCCTTTAATAAAGCAATATAATAAATAAAAATATATGAATGCCATCTAATCACGGAGAAAATACTTGACCCAACCGGTTTACAGTTCAAGAGAGAGAATTTTTACTGAATGCCCAATTATATGAGCTGTTTGACAAAGGAATAGGCTGCCTCAAAACATGGATGCTCCTTTATGACAGATGTTTAAGCATCATGACCTGGAATGTTGTGGGAATAGGTTTCTGCCTTGGCAGTGAAGTTTGAGGTTCCTTTTGAGTCTAAGCCATGAATTACTGTGAACCAAAACTCAATGGCTTCCATTTTGCTTCTGTAGCTTACTCTCCAATGTAAAGGAAGCCGATGATGGGTTGTAGTTTGTTTGGTACATATGGCTAAGCATTGGGAATCCAGCCCACTGAAGTTTATCCAGTAAACCATGGTTAAACAAACCATGCTTGCAAGACTCTAGTCTGCATTTCTATTATTTTTAGTCATAGCAGTATATCCATAGCACACAGATGTATAACTTCCCTACCATTCTACTTCTGTAAGGATTACCAGGGACCTTTCCACACTAACCAAATAGCTTCCCCAATGTCTGAAAAGAAATCAGAATAGCCAAGATAGTGTTAAATATAGCCAGCATTCCCCAACTTGGAGCTCACCAGTGTATTGCATTACCACTCCCATTGTCCCCACTGGATATGCAGGCAGGGAGCAACAAGGCCTGTAATTTATTTATTTATATATAAATCAAACTTGTATGCCGCCCATCTCACTATACAAGTGACTCTAAAAAGCATAAATAGTAAAAACACAAAACAAAGTTAAAAAGACTACAAATGGAGTTAAATAAATATTAGCCTGAGACACATAAATCCAATTAATTTTCTCACTAGAGAAAACCATGCTCTACACTCATGAAGTTTCACATGAAAAGCAGCCTTCGGAGAATAGGTGATTTTACATGCTTTAACACTCGAACTTTTCAGATCACTTCTTGACAGCAACACCAAATAATCTTGCAATACTGTACCTTAAAGATGAATAAATGTACTATGGGGTGAATTTTATGGATGGCATAAAATGGATGGCCTTTCCTCACAAGCAAAATCCTTAGCACAAACCAGCTCTTGGGGTGATAATAGAAACAGCTGCCACCACCGTGATGTTTTTCCCCCAACTGTCTTGCTAGCGACACAGAACGACCAGAAAAACGGTGCTTAAATCACAGTCTGGGAACCAGATAAGGATAGCATTACAGGAACAAGAGGTAAAATTGAGGAAAATTCGATTATTTCCTATCACTGGGTAGGGAAAGCTAGCTTTCTAACTTTCTATTACCTAGTAGTTATGAAAATGCAACACATACGTGCCGGTGCATAAAAGCACCCCTAGGTGAGAATACAGCCGAGCTCTTTGATCGTCGAATTACGGAGGTAAGAAAGGCTCGCAAATGCGCGTTAATTCTGTTTTTGAAACTGGGTTGTGACTTTGAAGCTCCAGCCCCTTTTATAGTTTTCCCAATTAGGAACGGCTGCCTGACGTCATGGCTATCTGGGATTGGTTGTACAGATCCGACACTCAAGGGGAGCCACACAGTCAGAGAAACTTTTAAAAGACTGTTCCCCTGTCCGCGCCAGTCTGAACTGCCTTAAAAAGGTTAGTTCTTACCTATGCGCACTACCAGCTTCCTCAGCCTGCCTACTTTTTCCCTCCCAAGAGAGGAAAGCCCCACAACTAGAAAACCACCCCCTTCTGCAGGCTCGAGCTATCTTCCTCGAGTTCCCTTGCCTAGCAATGTTTTCTTACTCGGTGCAGAAACTTTTTGACTGAACTTGCCTCACACGGTGAAAGGGAACGCGGGAACGCGGTGGATGAGACACAGAATTTAAAGCACTTTTATTTTTAGGGAGGGGGGAAAGGGAGGAGGGGGAAAGGAGCTGCGCTTTCCGAGCAACGCGAGCGAAGGGGATTGCAAAGCATCAACGACTTCTTTCTTTTGTCTGCGCCGAAAGTTCGTGGGATTTGCCTGGCTGCAGAGAATTCCCCTGGAATTTGAGGAGATGGCTTGTATCAGGTGGGCTTTCCTGCTATGTGTCTGCGCCTTTTGGTCCCCCACGCTTGACGCTTCCGAAAAGGCGAAGTTGAGGACGGTCACCTACGTCCTGCACCCCGATCAGCCGGGCGCGTCTAACAGCCGCAGGCAGAGCGGGAGGCAGCAGCGCCCGTTCAACCTGGAGTTGGTGAACACCCGTTACAGCAGCTCTCGGCGCAGCAGCAGCACCTTGGAGCGAACTCGCAGGATGAGCAAAACAAGCAGCCCCGGCGTGCAGCTCCGCTTGGGCCCCGCCGTGCGCCTTCAGCACAAACCTGCCGGCATCCACACGGCAGCCGCCTCCGCCTCCTCCTCCTCCTCCTCCTTCGCTAAAGCTGGCAAAGTAGCCGCGCGCTCCAAGATCCAGCAGCGCCAGAGCAACAGCACCTCCAGCGCAAAGGTCCACCCTAAAGCCCATCTGCGGCAGCTGCAAGGGTAAGGAGACAACAGCGACGCTCTCCCGCGTGGCCAAGGTGCTTTCGCCATTCGAGAGTTCCCCCCGCCGCGCCCCGGCCGCTTAGCTCGCGCATGTCTGTTGGGTAGCGAACCCGTAACACAACGCAGATGCTCACACTGCTTGGGATTTCCCACAATGCCATTCTTCTCTCCCCCATCCCCAATAGTGGTACCTCTTTTTCTTTTCTTTTATCTGATCCCTTCCAAAGTCCATATTCTCCAGCTCCTGTAATTCCCAAACAGAATGACCCAGCAGAGATTGAGGTGGCCAGGAATTGCGAAAGTGGTAGCATAATATCTCTGGAGACCATCACGTTGGTCCTGTTATTTACAGCTACTTCCAAAGCCGGGTGTTCTCCAGATGGAGTGAAACAGCAAGGCCAGAATAACTAGCCAGCTTTTCTAGGAGTTACAGTCCAGAAACATCTGGAAGATAGCAAGTTAGGGAAAGCTGCATTGAGTGTAGTTTAAACTACAGTGTGAACCACTGAAAAGGAGCAGGGGCAGAATCTCCCTTCTAAAACTTTGGTTCAGTTATCTTTCACATAAATAAACCATAGCTATAGAAACTGACAGAAGAATTTAAATATATGATGTAGGTTTTTTGAATTAGTGGTTTTTGTAGAGGAGCATGTTAAGCTGGAGATATTTCTGGCTGAATGTTCATATAAATGCCTGCTCCTTTCTTGGGTAAAGAGTACATTGTCAACACTGTGCTTGAGGCAGGTGCTGCTGTTGAATTAAAAAAGGGCTTGGTGGTTCCATAATTTATGCAAATACTGTAGACTAAAATGTGTTTAGCTAGTTTAATATGATGTGTAAACCCCAGCTGGTATGGTTAGTTTAAGAATGATAGAATAGACAATAGCTTCTTCTTTGAAACAATACTCTAACACAGTGTTTCCTAACTTTTTTCTCTCAGGACCCCAAAAGAGCTTTTATTTGTATGAGTTATATTTATTGATATTTACTGTATTAAAAATTAAAATTGATGCATTCACTGCTGCTACTGCTTCTCACGATTGTTTGATGGGATTTTAATATTCAACATAGGCTGGCAAATAATTTTGATTTCATCAACCCCTGACAGGGTCTTGGGGGACGCCCAGGGATCCTAGGACCACACGTTAAGAAACATTCCTCTAGCAATAAGATCATGGATTCAAATACAGTCAATACATACTATTAAAATTTTTGGTTGATTACATTTTAAGTAATTAGTATGTTTAAATATCTTTATTCTTTGCAGTAATCAACAATAGTTTTAAAAGGGAAAAGTCAACTTTATTTTTAGGTGACAAAATCACATTGGGCCTATTTCAGAAGAAGCATATTCTATGTGGGCAAATGAGGGGAATACCTCTTATAAGTTAGCATGCCTCTTCCAATATGTTTTGTAAGTTTTTGTGTTAAAAATAACATTTTAATTGAATTTGTATATCGCTCTTAATGTTTTTTTTTAATGTAATGGTTTAGGTCTCATATTCAGCATTTTTTGAACCTTACTATTAATACCACTTATAATGAATACTGATTAGATTTATGAGGGAAACATTCATACATGCTTTAAGTTGCTCATTATTTTACAATGTATGGGCATTTGAAAGAGCACTCCATTTACGGAGTGAAGTATAGCTGTACCTGCAGCAAAAGATGACAGAGGTTATTCTTAAACTTGGACAAGTACTCAAAGGTGCTAAAAGGTTGACAACCACTGATCAAGAGAGCTTGCATGGATGGAACTCATCACAGGTATGGCCCATCTGCTGTCTCAATGCAGAAAACCCAAACTCTATCCATAAGGTTTGTAAAAACAGAATAAATTAAACATTGGCCACCAGCTAGCCTTTAATGATGCCTCAAAAACTACCTCCTGATGTTGGCTGCTCACCTGGCATGAGGTGGACCCCATCACCCAACTTGGTGCCAGTTTTTTGCCTTTGCTTTCCTTTTCCTTTTGCTTGTGGGAGGTAGATTGAGCTGGAGACTTCCATCCTGCAGTGGTCAGAGACGTTCTGCTTTGGGGCCTTAATCTTAGAGAAGGTGATGAGAATGTAAACAGCTGAGGCACTTGGATGCCTCTACTCCTTTTCATGCTTATGCAGCCAAGAGAGATGTGCCTTTAGGTCACATACAATGAAAGTGAGGTAACTGCAGAGGGAAAAAGAAAGCCCTCTCCTCCCCCCACTTAGAGCGCACAGCCAGTCAAGAAAGACCTATTGCCTTCTAAGTACTGGAGAACAGTGAACATCTATTCTTATTTGGAACATTTATAATTACTTTCCTTCAGGCCTGAAATTTTTCCCCCTCCTGCCTACTCCTAGCGTTCCACTGAGGTGTCAGCACAATCTCCCCCCCCCCCTTTTTTCCTTTTAGTCTCTTGTTATAGTTCTCTCTGGCTCTTTTAGCCCATTCCCCTCCCCCCTCCCTGCTTTGAAAAGGTCTCCAACGAGAGAAAAAAGTGAGCTATTGAAATGCAGCAGAATTTGTTGTCTGCACCTGGCAGTTGATCCTTTCTTTACTGTTTTCTGCAGGGTGAATGTCTGTGGTGGGCAATGCTGTCACGGCTGGAGCAAAGTTCCTGGTTCCCAGAGGTGCACCAAACGTAAGTAGCCATGTGCAAGGATACACTTTTAAACGTGAAACAAAGGCCTCTCCATTCCTAGTATAAAAATAGTTCTGGTCCCTGCATAGTCCTGTGGTACGCAATCAGTTGATGGCCTGAAGCCTCACTCAGATACTTGTCCCTAGGAAATTTACCATACCAGTGGCCTAACTTTATATTCAAACCTACCCTGATTTTATAATAATTAAAATAATATACAATTGATGAATTATACAGATCTGGCAGGCTTCTGCACCTGGTCACACAATTCATTTGTGCTAGGAAATGTAACCCTGCCCCCCCTCCCCCGGTTTGGATTTGACAGGATTATTTTGTGAGGATTACAGTCCCTATGTTTTTTACGGTTAATATTTTTGACTCTCGTATTCAAAGAAAGTGAGAATTCAGGGTATTGGATTACTTTGCATGTGGATCCCTCCATCCTTTATGATCTGTAAGTGACTTCCTGCTTCTGGTTCAGATTTGCATAGGTTACTTTTTCTCCAAGTGAAGCAGGACCTTTTTGGTGGTGAACCCATCTCTCAAGGGGAGAGCAGTTGAGTTTAGATGCAGCTTTTTAGTTATAGGAGCTTTATATTCCCCCCGCCCCGCCCCGCCCCGCCCCTAAGTCACTGGGGTTTAAAACAGGGATGGTTACATCTCCTAAATGCACAGGTTTGACTATTCCTGAACAAAAAACAGATATTTTGCAGACTAGTAACTGCAGGCTGTTAAAACATTTTGCAGCCAGAGGTTTCTCTACTGAACTTCTGTGTACCAGATGTGGGTTGATGTTTGGCATGTCCAGCATGAAAGCCAAGAGAGCTAGCAGTTTGTTTTCTGAACTGGGATGTGAAAAGCAAAGTTTCTTTCTCGGCACATAGCACAGAGCCACAACAGTTGCCAGAGGTATGGACAGGTAGCTGTTCATTCACCTAGTCATTATCAGGTGAATGATGAAAAACAAACTATATTAAGGTGAAGCATGTTCAGCTTTCTAGGAAAATCTCTGAAAATAAACAAACCCAAAGCCGTCCTTCACTTGCTCCCAGTAAATCCACAGTGCTAGAACTTATACGAGGAAAATATTTCAGTGGGACTCAGGTGAAAAAAGTTTGGACTACTGAGTGTTTTCTTTACATTTCAGATTTTGAAACAGCAAGAAATAATAATGTGCAAAACATTTTGAATCTGAACAATGGCACCTCTGACCAACTGTAGTGAAGTTAAAATGACATGTACTTCATGATGTCATCAGCAAATGTTGTAATTATGTATGTCACTCTTCGATGCAAGTATGTGGCCATGGTACTTGTGCTATGATATCATTGCACACATACTTCATTTGCCTCATCATGGATACTCATGAAGTCAAACCATTCTGAATTTGAAACATCCTATCTTGAGTGAGAAACAACTGCTTCAAATGTGGAATAGGCTGTTTTGATCATTCTGAAAATGTTTCATGTTCGAAATAGATTATTTCACACTTAAAACAGCTGTTTTGAGCTTGGAATACTTCCAGAATTATTAAAACAGCCTGGGATGGGGCATTTTGAACTCAAAATTAGGTGTTTTGAATTTGAAGCAGTTTGTACTCAAGAATTTTTTAATCCATCCAGCAAGAAATCCACCTAGTATCGGTGAAGAAAACTTTAATTTAATCTCTAGATGGACCTATGCATGGAACTGGGTTAGATCATGGAATACCTGGTACACAAATATTGCATTGCCATTGTGTAAAAGAAAGGGATGGGAATGCACACTATGGTTAGGAAAAAAAATCATTTTTTTTCCAAGTTATCCCACGATCCTTGAAGGATTTTATTGTGCACTGTCTTACCTTAGTCAGGAAATTTTATTGGAGTTATAAATGTTGTCATCTTCTGCCTACAGCCTTCTCCTCTGTTTCAATTGCTTCTTTTCATTCTACAAAAATCCATTATAGAAGAAAAGATAAAATAGTTGCACAGACTCTGAGTTTTATAGCCTTGATATATCTTGTAAGCACAAGGAGCCTAGCCCCTAGGCCTTTTCAGGGGCTACTTTCAGCTATCTTTGGAAAGATCCAGAAAGCGATTCCCTTGTATTGCTTCCAATATATATGAAAAGAATAACTATTCAGACTGTCTCTGTTAAAGTTACAGCTGTCATGTGTTGATGATAGCTTTAATTTTCCCAATTTTAAATTTTATTGGGAAAACTTCTTAACTTTAATATTTTAGTGAAATGAAAATGATATTGACTATTTACTCTTGTGAGCTCAACTTAATATCACCCTTGTGATCCCCAAGTTCTTGGTTCTAACTTTAGTAGGAATTGGATCATTTTTCCAGCACTGAAAGGAGTCAGATCCATCTGGGTCTTATTGAATAGAATGTAAATTTTTTGTGCTTTGTACACAAGCAAGGGTATGTACATCAGTTGTTATTCATTTGTAATGTCTTTTAAGGAAATGTAGCTTTTCAAAAATCAATTAAAAATTTAAAAAGAAGGAATACAGAGAACAAAGTCCCACTCCCATGCCAGTGAAATTGCTGACTTCCTTTCCTTTTCTCCAACACCCTACTAAACAGTGTTCATCTTTTCAGTTCAAAGGGCTAAAAACACTTCTAAAAGTATCTGCAGGATGGCATGATTTTCAGAATGATATTGAAGTCTGTATTCATGCAATATTTTCATAGAATTAACAAACACCCTTGCATTATACAGAGAAAAAAATGTGGCAGGTGGGGAAAAGCTAGTTGGCTATCTCCCACCTGATCTTCATAGGATGCTGTTTCCTTTGTTCCTGCTGCTGAAATAGTCTTCGTCAGTCTGGCTTGCAGATGTCCTGCAAAGACCTTCATTTTACATAGATTGAAATACTGTAAATGCTTCTGTTTGATTCAACATTTACATATGGAAACAAATCCTGATGAGAATGTCTGACTCCCTGTATGCATGCAGAAGTAGGAATGCTTTATTGGGGACAAACTGTAACCTAGTACATTCCCATCCCAGACAGAAAATAATCTGTCTTTAATGTGCAACAAAGCAATGGCTTTATGGGTTTGAGCATCTGTTGCTGAAGCATATGTCATTACAGCAATACATTTGCATTTTGATGTGCATTCCTTAAGGTCCAAGTTGAGATTCATGTTGGAAGCTTTAATCTCTTAGGGCATGGCTTAATGGCTCATTCTTCCCTCCTCTCCTTAAGAAATGAAACAACTTGTATTTTGTAGCTACTTGGTAGTGACCTATTCTTCCCTAGAGTGGCAAAATCTCTCTTATGCTTTGTATTGGTTTGTTCAGTGTTACAACTACTAGTATGGTACTTCTTTTCCTTTTACCATTTTTTGTGGATTGGAGATTTTCTAATATGTGTATGTTAATATCTGGTCATTGGGTGCCTATTTATATTAGTTTTAATGCTATTGCTGATATATGTTTTTATTTGTTTTATTATATTGTCTTACTGTGTTGCTATAATGGGTTTTGATTTTAATAGCGTACTTCCCTGAGTCCATTGGAAATATGGTAGCATGAAAATATAGTACATAAATAAAATTAGCTTGCTTTATATTAGCTTGTTTTTATTAGTTCTGTTAGCACTGAAGATCACTCAGAATAATAACTTAAAAATATCCATTGGAATTTTCCCTCTAGACACTGGAAAAGCAGAATGGCAGCTTAGTGTCATTGCTGAATGGTAGATCTCCAATCTCTACATCATGTGACAATCTGGAATCTTGACTGCAGTGATGCATTCTCTTCCACATGTAGATTCAGTATTGGGAAAAGAAAATTGGAGCTCTGCCTACTGGCTCTATCTTTAATCTTTGATGCATTTAATAAGTGCAAACATATGACCTATTTACAGACGTCAGATTGGAAGAGATGTGACAGAGGTCGTCGTCATCATCATCATCATCACCATCACCATCACCATCATGAGGCACTACCTTGAAGTGGTTGTGGGGCTGTGTGCTTCGAGGAGGATGAGAGCTATGCCAGAGGAGAAGCCAGACGAAGAGTGTCTTTCCCATAAACAATATGGTGAGACACAATTTACAGAAACCTATACCAGATCGGTCATTGCCCAGGTCAACGAAGACTGCACTAGGTGTTCTAGTTCTGGGACATCTGGTGATAAGTGGGCTACAGGACTGAGAACCAGGGCCAGCAGCTGCCGGCCTACTGGAAGAAGAGTTGTTTACCCATCACAAATATACGAAGGCTGAAAACAAAGAAATAATGATCTGTTATTACAAATTGAGTCCAACGAGAAGAGGATATCTGAAAAGAATGCACCAGTTCTGGAAAGAACAACATCCAG